TGTTTCTCAAATATGAAAGGGAAAAGGCCAAAGATCTGAGTTTGGCCTTTGCAAGGGAAAAGGAGAGAAAAAATGGTAGTTTCAGCATGTGCTTGCTAAGAAAGAGCTACTTCACGGCACTGCTTGCTTTGTGCTGTGGAATAACCTGAAGAGAAGTGCAATTCCTAGAGACTGGATCAAAGAAACTTCACCACCACCTCTGGACTCTGTAGCTTTTCCATTTGCATTTCCTGCAGCATCCCCCTGGCACCGCAGTCTGCACCCAACAGCACAGTGTGGCCAGTCCATAGGTGGCAATTTGCCATGTACTGGCAATCAGCCCAGCAAGCCTATGCATAATTGGCAAGGTTTTATCCTTGCTGACCTAATCCATTCACCCACAAGCACAGGGCATGCCAGTGAGGGTGGGGTTTCATTTTCAAGTGTTGCTGCAGGAAATCTGAGTTACTAAAAATATTATGAAGCTGTGACTGGAACTTGGGACATAAGCCTATTAAATCCAGAAAACTCAGAGATTTGGTCTATAAACATAATTTTCTTGCCCTGGTCCCACGTTAAAATCATCCTGCATCATATCCCAAACAAAAACTCCATCACATGCGATCATATAGACACTGAATTCCAAGGCAAACGTCTGCAGCAATAGTCACTAAAATGGAAGTGAATTGAGAAGCAAGCCCTTTTCTGCTTATTTTTGATAGTAAACTAGAATCAAGGCTGATGGTTTGGGATTTTTTGTTGTTTTTTTTTTAATTAGAAATTCACATTCATTTTGTCATCTTCGTGATAACTGGTGTGGTCATAGAACAGTGAGATTGCAGCAATGTGTAAGTGCAAGTTGGCATCAGGTTTTTTTCCAGACAAGTTAAATTTATGAGGTTATTATTTGCTTGTTTTCTTCATACCTAATTATGAATTTGGATAAAAGTGGTCTTAGTTAAAACTTCAAGAACTTTCAGTCTGACAGTGCTCATAGTAAACATTCCTGAGTCTGCCAAGAAACAAAACAGCTAAGCCTAGGAAGAGCAAAATTGACATTACTGGTAACTACGACATAAAAATCAGAGTAATTTTCTTAAAAACTCAATCTAAGTAATTTCTAACACATTTATATACTGGCAAAACCCAATAAAAACAAAACTATGTATACACATACTTTAGTTTCTTTTAAATACTCACATAATAGACTTTGCAGATTGTTTATTATGAAGAATGTTCCTATAACTGAACTCTTTTGAATAGTTGCCTATGGGAAGCTCTGTGACTGGAATAAACTAAAATTAAACTCGAAGAAATTTGGAAGAGGAATTATTTTGCATTTGCCAGAAGATATGCTGGACCATAATGACTCTTCCTAATTTATATTCTGCAAAGTGTGTGATCCCAAGATGAGAAAACAGACATACAAGATAAAGATTGTATCTAGAAATGTCACTTTGGAACAGAATTCTATTTGAAGAAATCATTTAAATGTTATTTTAGAACAATGATGTTATTTTTCAGGAAAGGCTGTTGTAGCCATAGAAATCCCAATGACCTCGTAAGTGAAGAGCCAGGATGAAAAGAGAGGTGAACAGCCAGTCATTCCTTGTCACTTCCTCCTCTGCCCTAGTATCAGTCCCACCTATAAGATCAGTTCTTAAAGTCACGCTATTGTTCCAAAAAGGAGGTGGTGGCAGGATTCCAGGTTTACACTGCCAAAACACTATCCAATCCAAACGAGAGATGAAATCGTAGAATTAGTTTTCTTTCCCTGCCTGTTCAAAAAAAAAAAAATTGGTTTTGGACAAACAAACCAGCAAGATTAAATTAAACATATGGTTGATAAATGAAGTACAGAAGAGCATATGGAAAAAAAAACCTGGCTACCATAGGTACTTTAAAGTAGTGTTGGCTTCCATGCACTGTTATTACGCATCCTTTGCTGAAAACTGTATACCCTTCACAATTTTGAACCTCCTGTGTGTTTCCTCATATTTTCAATCAAATTATTACATACTAGAAATATGCATAAGGGAAATTATTCTACACATTTTATGGTGTGCTGTTGCTTGTAGCAGTAATTGAAGTACCTTTTCCACTTATGAAAGTACTAATTTTATTTGGTTTTATTGCTTTTCTAGATGCAATTATTTATTTAGTGTGTTTTGGCTTTATTAAATTATGTTTACTATAGGAACATCATAAAAATGTATGAAAGCAACACATCAGCCACTACTGCCCAATGACCTGTTTTCGGGAATCTAGTGTTATTTTTCATATCCAAACATAATAGAATAAAGTAAGAATAAAGAGATAATCTACAGTGGAAAACAATGCAATTTTGAGATAATATAATAAAACACCTGGACAATATGATTTCATAAATCTTAGTTCTAAAATTTACATGAGCTGGGCGTTGGGTTGGCTATTTTAGAACATGTGGTATTTTCTAAATGGAAGCATAACATGAAATACAATTAAACAGCAAAGGGGAAAGCACGCACAGATTTAGCTTGCCCTGAGCAACTGATTTCTACAGAACAATGAAAATATTTCTACTTCAAAAGATGCAGTGTGTCAGTCTTAGGAAATACAGAGTTTTGCTCTGGCAGTGACCAACAGCATGTTTGCAAAGTTTTATCAGATTCATTTTTGGGAGGCTTTTTACATGCAGCGCATTATTCCGCACTTAGGGTCTGAGGTGACACCCACTGAAGTTGGCAGCAAAACTCCCAATACCTTAAAACAGAAACTAGGTGTGCTGTCATACACTGACAATAAAATCTTCAACATTTACTGGTGCTATTGTGATGTCCACCCTCAACTTAGCTCCTGTATTTAGCCTCTGTACAACCTACTGAATAGCACATATAGTTTTGAAAACTCAAAAGAAATCTTTAACATATCAAAAAAGGCAAAACCAACTTAAGTGCCTAGAAACTGATGCTAATACTCTCAGGCTAGAAAGAAGAGTGGAATATAAAAATTTATTAAGTATCAGAGTGCTTGACTAAGAGTTTTTTCTAACTCTTTAAGTTAAAGCCAGGATAGAACAGATATCTTTCTAAATTGTCGTTTAGTTCAGTCCTGATACATGGACAAAGAAAAGAAATAAGTGATTTTATTTCTGTTACATACAAGATCAGGCTGGGATCCACAGGAAGTACTTTTACATCATTACACCAGAGAATTCAACAAAAGCAGGAAATCTGTGTAGTCAGTAGTGAAGCATTTGATAGTGAATGGTGACCAGAAGCTGAGATCAAATAGGACTGCCCATGCAAGAAGGGGAAGGAGGGAGGGAAGACCATGTGAATAATCAAATGCAAAGATGACAGTCCTGCAGTTAGCCCTGCAAATGGCCTTTACTCACGTGTACAGACCAACTGATTTCAATGACACCACTTGCAGCAGCAGCAGCTGCACAAAGTATTTCAGGATCAGATCTGCAGAGAAGAAATAAGATTAAATTAACGCTGGAAAAGTGTAAACTGATCCACCCAGAGGAAAACAATCTGAAATGCAGAGTGTGAGCAACTGTCAAGGCAAAATGAGAGGATTCCACAGCAGTGCAAAAGACAGGAAGCAGGGGAGCATAGGGACTGATTTCAAAGGATATTGGATGTTTATTTTTTTAGCCAGAAGGCAATATAATAATTATTCAAACACATTTCAAGGGAACAGGAATCATTTATGTTAAATCAGAAACAAACAAAAAACAGTAAATAAAACACATAGGAAACTCTTGGCATTGGAAAATTTTATCAATTTCTTCATTATAACATTTAAGTACTGTGTGGAAAATCTTGGTTTATGAACTTTGAGTCAGTTTTCAGTTTACAACTGGCAAAGCTTTTCTTGGGCTCAGAGGTGCACCCTTTTCTATAAGGTATAATCTTGTGACTGCAAAAATTTGCATGGCTGAAGTGTTTTTTGGTTTGTTTTAATTGTCCTTTTTAGATTTAAACTTGAGGACACCAGTTATATTCAGGTAGAACACAGTGCCCAAGAAAATAAAAGAGCAAATTCTCCAGTTCTCCACTTGTACAGGGCCTTAGCACTTCAACCTTCTTCAGGGAGCACAGACTTCAATCTTCTACAGATGAAATGAAATCCATTTCAAGTACTGGGACACCACATACAATTCAAAGGAAATTCTTTTGTTTGTTGCTACATTTGCTGAGGTGAATTTCATATGAACAACCCATTCCCAACTGATGACCCAACACACACAGAGGAATGTAAACCAAGATTTTCCTCCTCTAAGCCACCACGCTGAGCTTGAAGTCCCCAACAGCAGTAGGTAGCTCTTCCATCACCCACATGAAATTTGTTCAGTAAATCTGCTTGATAACGTCTCTCTTAGCTGAGTTTCATAGCTTTAAGTCTAAAACTCAACCAGTGTAATACATCAGACAGCTTTGGTGGTATGGCCGTTGTTCTAAACTCTGAACTCATCTATAACATGGCAAAAGTGGTGAAATCCCATTGGAATGACAGTAACTCAATTCTGTCCATTTTTGCTGCCTTCTGCATATTTTTAACATGTTTTTTGGTTCTGTTAAGAAACATAGTGAGAGGTACTTTGAGTGGCTGTGATAAGAGATGTAACTCGTCCAATGTTTACAACTGGGAAGCAAATCTGGCATATATACTTCAAATTGTGAAATCTGCAATGACTAAAATTAAATTGGGAAATTTAGGATTAAAGAGGTTGAACATTTTGCTAACACACATCTTTCAAATGAATTGTCAAATTAAAATGTTCAGTGTTTGAGAAACAAGGAGAAACTGGTAATGAACCTGAAAATCCTACTATTTCCCGTTTCTTATTTTTAATATTATTTTCATTTCATCTTCTATGAACTAACTCTAGTGCAGACTAAACTGATTAACAGCATAGTAGAATTAGCATGTATGAAAGAAGAAATATAGCCCATTCTACAGACTACTTAAGGCATCTTTTACATTCAGTGGTAACAACATTATAACTCTAATTTTTTGGTTCTGTTTCCTAGCCAAAAATCGCAGAGGAGAATTTAACATATGCTGAACTTGAACTTATGAAGCCGATCCAGGAAGCCAAAGGCATTCCCAGTACGACAGTCTATGCACAGATACTCTTTGAGGAGAACAAGCTGTAATAGTTCATGCCTGTATAAATGTCCTTTGTCTGTGTTCTATTTAATTCTTGCTGTGCTGTTAATTTATAAAAATCATACAAATGTCCTTATTTTTTTATTTCCTTTCATGTGCTTCTATTTTTCTATGAGACTTTTAAACATAATGTCATTGAAAGTAATCATAGAAAAGCAGCTGGTCTACCAGTGACATCCCAGAGACACCCTTCGCAGTGTTCAGCCCCCCTGTTTTAAATGGACTGAAGTTCCATCTGGGGCATTTTCAATACTAAACATTATTCCTTCTTTGACGCTAATGTGACGAGTCCAGCTGCAAACATCAACAGCCTCAGAAGGACTAGTGGCAGGATCCATGCACATCAGCCTGCTTCTGAAGACAAAGACCACTGACCGGGAAATTTGTCAATTTAATGCTGGTTTTTCCATCAGAAAAATATTAATTTCGTAAAGCTGAGACTTTTTTTCTACAGCAAACGAAAAGCTAAAATTACTTTTTCTGCTTCTTTTCCCCCCTCTAGAAATAGTTATCAAAAGAGTTGGTTTCTGTATTTTCAAATTCCCTTTCTAAATGACTTTGTATTTAAAAACTCACGTTACTTGTAGTAAAGTTATTCTTTAGTGCTTGAAATGAAACATTTCAAAATAATACAAAGGAAACGTTCGTAGTTAAACCCCAATGATTTGAGGAAGAATATTTATAGCTTGGGAATATTTTCCAGCATTTGATATTTTTTAAATTCTGAATTGGAATAGGAAAAAATTGATAGCAAGTAAGACTTTGACAGAACCAGGACACTGCTTTTGGCCTGGATCTAGATTGGTGCTCCCAAACCTGCAAAAGTTTCCTCCTGTGGCCTGCATTACTGAGCTGCTGATCTAGAGGAAAAACTCATACAGCTTCTCCTTTAGTATGGAACAGATTCTGTTAACACCCTGCTCACTTACTTTGGAGTTATTTCTTTGGAAAGACCAGGGCTTGGGAGGTAGGGAAGCGAGCCTGATGTGAGAGCAGAAAATACTCTTCCTCTTTCTTCACCTCTTGATAACTGAGAAGAGATTCTTCCTTTTCCTTTGATACGCGTTCATGGAAAATGGGCTATTCTGTGGCATCCTGGGCATTTCAGTTGTGAAGGATGGCTGGACTGGTGTTTTCAAGCTCCTAAATCTCCAATGCCCAAATTCCACCAAAAGTCAGAGGGAGTTGGGTACCTAACATCTTTCAGCCCTTAGAAGCTTTAGCCCTTGAGTAACCACAGAGATAACGGAGACGTAAAAGCATGGGCTCCTAGCTCACCATCAGGCCATGGAGATCTGATACTTGGCACGTGCCAGGTCCTTTCCAGGTCTGGGAGGGAGCCACTTGACAGGCCACTCATTCAGCAGTACTTGGTGCGGATTTTGGAGTAGCACTTGCAGGCCTTGCGTTTTGAAATCCCAACCAAGGGGATCCAAATTGCTTCCTCCTCTACAGGTCAGGCCTTTTTAGTGATACAGCAACTTCTCACCAGGGCTCAGAGCACAGCTGGGGACCACCACAGGAACACTAATGTCTTTATTCCTGTCACTGCATGGGAACGCAGGAGAGGAGGGCAGCAGTGATAATGCAGGGATGGGGATGTGCGACAAAGGGAGAGAGCATACCACAGCCTTTTGGAGGGTTTCACCAAAATAAATGAGTCTGTATAAACTGCTTTTTAACTTTTTTGAACAGGGGTAGAGATTAGGCAGCATACATAATCCATTACTGTGTATCCAGGATGTGTAAATGTAAAATGCAGTCACCTACTTCCATGTTAGATAGAAATCTCTGGTATAAAAAAGAGAATTTAAGAGAAGCCTGTCAGGCTGGCCATTATGTACAGTACTAACTCCAACTTTAGTCCCTCATCAAAACAGTTCTTTCCAAACTAAGGCCAGCTTTTATCAATAGGTTTGCTAGTAATTCATTGCATTTTTAATCTTTACATTTGTCAGCTGTCAAGAAAATGTTTGTTTCACCTTTTCATTATCCCAAGAGTTTAATCACCCACCAAAAGGGCATGGTATCTATCCTTGTTCTCTGATCAGGTGATGGATTTTCAATGACAACAGCAATCAACTCAGTGGCCGAAAGGAAATTGGTGCTAAAGAGTGATCAAACATTCAGGGATCAACTTTGGAACAGCCAGAGTTTGACTGACTACTCAGAGAGGACATATCTTGTGCAGACAGCTGTAAGGAAGGCCTTAGAAAAGCTTTGGAATTAAAAATAAAACCCTAATACATTAATGAGTTGACCGCTTAGTTGTGAAATTTTTCTAAAGTTTGGTATATAAACATCCCTTTTACATACAACTGGCCATTGTGCCCATTGTTCAGAAAAATCCTCTACTGTATGTTTATGCCCAGTATTTTAATGAATACCATTCATTATGTATTAATAGTCTATATAGTCTTGTTTATGTTTGATATCTAATTCCCAGAAATGATAATTAATTGAGCTAAATAAATTACTTTTTTGGTGAGATAAATTCTCTCAGTCTGTGTAGGATTTATTGCTTGCTAGAGAACTATTTGAGGATATGTGTTTATCTCATACTCAGCATTTAGACAATCCCGATAGGTGGGAATTGAATTTTTCATTCTGCAGAAAAGTCCATGATTTTAAAATGTTTTCCATTTGTGACTGACTTCAGATTACAGCAGAATCCTGAAAGGCAACAGACCAGTTGAGTAAAAGGAGGCCAGAAATACTACTTAGGAGAATACCCATCCTCCTGAGTAGACATGTCCTATACCTTTTCTTATGCAGCGTCCACCCAGATTTAATAACATCAGATCACATAATTGGAGAAAGAAAAACATCATCCTTTACCTTTCAATTAATTGTACATCTTTTACTGTTAAAGCAACTCACTTGAAAGACTATGGAGAAGAAAATTTTACTGAGCATAATGTGCTTTAGTGGGAGAAATGCAGAATAATTTGGATTTAGCTCCTTTAACAGGAAATGCCAGGCTGAATTAATCTCTGGCCTAACTCCATCTGGCTTCAGCAGAACAGCAGCAGAGCTGAATGTGGTCCACTGTTCTTTTATGACAGGAACTCCCATAAAGACTCTTAATATGTTATTAAGCAGCACTTGGACTCTGCTGAGTCATACTATTTTGGATACTCCTTCTGTTGTCATTGGTAAAATATGGCCTAGTGCTGAAATTTTAACAAATACAGCTCTATTAGCTTCACACCAATTTAGTATCAGATTGTTAAATGTTAATGTACTGCACCCTATAGCTTTATATAGAATTAGAGATGTTTACAGCTTTGGTTAAATGCACCTTGTTCCTCCACATTAAATTTTATTACTAGAATCCTCCATCAGCAAATAGGAGTAAATCACATTAGTGTCGCGGGCTGTGTGTGGGTTGATTCTGCAGCCCAAGGAAACGGTGTTTTATTACTCTTTATTACAACTTTTTAATTGGTAGGTGTGGTCAGAATGTCATTATCTCTGTAATTACAAGCAAATCATTTGTTTTAGAATAACTGTAACATAATGGTGGGATTCTCTTCATTTAGAAGTTCAATCAATTTGTGTCCTTCACCAGGGTTTGGCCAGGTTCTGCTGGCATAGCATCACTCAGACCAGATGAGGTCTCATTTGATGTTTGGTTTGTAGGTCGAATTCTACTTTTTGAGGGTTTCTCCAAAGCACCTCTGGTAAGTGACATCAGGGTGCAGAGATCCTTTTTGGCTTCAGTCTAACCTTCCAGGGTAAGACATAAAATTCCTAAATTCCACTGCATAACAATTACTTTTCTGAGTTGCCTGCACTAATCTGAAATACGCTCATTTAGTATGCTTTGTTCCTGGTTTGACTCCATTTTATTAACTTGGTTGGGAGGTAGAGTAGATCTAAAGAATGCATATCAATAGAAGACTCCAAGTTTGTGTTATTCCTCTCAGGAAAAAAAAAAAAAGAAAATGGAGATGGCACAGATTTTGAGATGTCAGCTAGTCTATCACCTGATGTCAAGGTTGGAACAACTCAGCTTGACTTAACCTGGTAGAGATTGGTCTAACCTCTTCTTAGAAACTTACAGTAATAAGGTTCCATACTCTCCTCACCATCCATTTCCACAGCCCTAATCATTCAAAATGTTTCCTAGCACGTAGGCTAGATCTTCTTGCCTTTTCCCCAGTAGACATAGAGAACATCTCACTCTCATCTTAACAGCCTTCTCCATATCTGAAGACTATTGAAGGGACAGTTGAAAAGAGAATTATCAACCTCAATTCTGTAAGGCTTTCCTCTTGCAAAGAACAAATGATTCCCAATACTGCTTCTCTGGAAAAGATTAACAAATTATACTAGAGAAAACAGCCCTGGAAATTCAGGGAATGGTTAGGTTGGGTTCTGAGCTGGCTTCCCAGATCCCATTCTGAGCACAGCCCACAGAGGAAAGTGCCTGCTGAAACATCTGAACAAAACAAACCATAGCTACAACATGTGGGTCTCAAACAACCTCTCCTCCTGGCTGTCCCAGCTTTTTCAGCAAACTTCACAGCAGTTTCATATTCCAGCATTTCCAATCAGAGGCTAAATGCTGAAGCAATGTGCTCTACTGACTGCATAGCAATAGGTAGGGCAAGAATCCTACCTGTCTTGGCACCACATTGTGTTAAGCCTCTCTTGTTCCTCACCAGCACTGCTGGGTTGTTTGCAAACCCCATAAGAGGCTTTTCAGTCTTTGACCACCCCAGTCAGAAATGTTCTGGCAGCACTTTTTGAGCCTCCAGCCACACCTGCTCAGGTTTTCATTTTAATACATGGCACATAGTCACTGCAATTGCATTTCTCCCTGCTGTGCAGGAGCTGGGACTCTCCTGCACCTCACACCAGGTATGTAGGAGGTCATGTGCACAGAAGCCCCAGGCAAGCTCACTTGGGTTCTGGTCCTGTCTAGGAAAAAACTTTGGGGAAAGGGACTTCTTACCTCCCTGCGTGCCTGTTCCCTGTGCCCCTATTGAATGCAAGCTGTTCGGTCGAACTCAAACTTTCCCCCTTGGATTTAATTTGAGTTGTTAAGCCACGTTAAAAGCCCTATC